GGAAGCAAATTGTCAACCAGTACAGCTCATGAAGCAGAGGTGTTACATGAGCATACCAAGGCATGCCCATCACTGCCCTCCCCACTGCATTCCGGACCAGTTGAAGCTTTTGGCTGGTCTTTAAGGGCAGCCCCATGTAGAGTGCACTGCAATAGTCAAGTAGTCATATACTTATATTATCATCAGTTAGGCCTACAAGATAGATAGGATGAAGATGTATTTTACTATTTTGCCTATGATTTCAAACCCTTAAAAAGAGGCATTTATTAATTTCTGGCAATGTTTTAATTTTTGACTTTTTTTTTTTTTTTTGGTGCTATTGAATGATCACAACAATCCTTGGGGGAAAAGAGGAGAAATTCTAGGTCAAACTTTCTATTGCTTCCTAAATCCAGCCAATTTGAAATTCTTTTTTCTTCCCATCTGTGAGAATTAAGTAATACCACCAATACTAGGAGGATATTTTGAAGACTTCTGTTGGTGGAATGTCAAAGAATTAGGGGCTTGGAGCTCAACTATGTTGCCTAATCCAACATACCTTAACTCCACCGGTAGGAGTCATGGAATTTTGCCCAAATATTTAAAAAAGACTGATAACATTAATGATATCTGTAAGGAAGTTGGTATTTACAAAAATGTGAACCTATCCATGTTATCAGGAGTAATTATACGTTCCATGCAACATGCCAAGTCCCTTTTTGTTCCAGGCAGAGCTGAGTCTAATCTGAATTTAATAAACACAGTCAATTCACCACTTGGTATTGCCATCTCATAAACACACTATCCATGGGCAAACCTACATGTATGTCGGCAGAGGAATATTTCCACCATGGAACAACCTCTCAGCTAGATTTCCTGCTATAAATTGATTTCATTATAGAAAGCTTTAGTTTATGAAGTCCACAAAATGGTAAATAAAGCTTGCTGTTATTTATTTTTAACAAATATTTATTTCAGAAATATTTATTTAACAAATATTCATTTCAGAAAATGTATCTGTTTCTGCACAAGACAATTAGCAATATGTGTGTGTATATATAAACACAAATAATAGAAAAACAGATGAGAACCTGTATACATTATTTAGATGCTGGTAAAGTTCATCTTCTAAAACCTTCTCCTCCATCCAAATGAATCTGTAGAGTTGGAGATAGAAAAAAATGACATTGGTTACACTATTCTGTAATTCAGCTCTTGTAAACTCATCTTGCTGATGAGAATGGAATGAAAACATTCACTATAGAGATACTACAGAATGCTGGTTTTGACTCACATGTTATCTATTGTGCTAGGAGCTCACCATTGTTTCAAGGGATGCATACTTGAATATTTGGCAGGGTGTTCATACATGCTTAGTAGGAATAACAGCAAATTCCTCATATCTAGACTACATTACCTATGATTACAGAGGGGGGACTTTTATTAAATGCCCACTTCTATAGTGGGCATTTAATAAAAGTTCTAGGGGATTCATTACCTAGTAAAGTCATTATAACTATGTTGGTCCATTGATAAAAATCTAAAATCCAAAGCTGGTTATTTCTTTATTAGGACCAACCTTTTCAATCTCCAGGATACTTCCTTCCCACCTAAATATTTATGTTTCCCATCAATTGTCAAGATCTTTCTTTTCCCCACTGTGGTTATTTTGAAAGATATATTGGTTGACCCAGCCATTGAATAAATTCTACATTAACCCAGACCTCTGCACAGAGATAACCACTTTTTAATTCTGTAAATTCTGTTAGAACTACAATAAACACTTCCTCAGATTCTACCCAGTGGAAGGAGAAAAAGAAATATTACTTGCAAAATGGGGGGATTCCCAAATCGTTAATCACAGTGGCCAAAAATACAGCCAGAGCAAAATTATTTCCTCAATTTAACTACTACAATGTATCATCATAAATAAAGCTGCAATGTGTTAAAAGCTAAATGAGCCCCTATGACCATGCAGTTTTGTTCCCATTTCTTTTAACTATCTCTCTGGCCAGCTAACATATTTTATTGCCTGGGAAAGGGGGCTATTGTGGTATATATTCCTTCCAGAAACCAAAGGAAACTGGAATTGAATTTTAGTTGTAACTGGAGGGGAATAGGCTGGTTTAGGGAATACAAGATGGGTTGAATGGAATGTGTCCTGCTCTCCAACAGTCAGAAATACAAAGAAAAGCCCAGGGACCTCTCCTCCTCCTCCTCCTCCTCCTCCTCCTCCTCCCTGCCTCCATCTGAGGTCTCAGGAGGTTGTCTCACTCTGCCTAATGTTAGTGCTGGCTCTACTTTGACAGAGCAATCTGCTGCTCACCATTATAGAGAAATAGCAACTATAAATGGATATTCAAACAAGCCTAGTCTATCTGGTATTATTCCTAACATGCACCTAGCCTCAGAGAAATGAAGAAGTCAGAGATGGCCCCAATTAAGTTAAGAGCATACATCTTGACTGCTTTCTTAGAATTTTGCAGCTGGTAGTTTCCCCACATCCATTGTTTGTAAAATAAAATCCCCATGCATGGTGTAGGGAAAGGTTTAGCTTCACCTTACTCCCCTCTCTGCCTCTGTTTTACCCTCTTGCAGACCCAAGGGGGATAAAAACTAAGTGGAAATAGATGGAGCACTGTTGTGGGGCTGCTCTGTTTCCTATCTCTATACCCAGAGGCCAAAAGAAAGTCTTAATTTCAAAGTAACTTCCTCTTCTTGGTCCATCTAACACAAGAAATGCAAGGCACGGTAAATACATTTCCAACTGTCTTTATCCATATTTTGTCTCAGAATCTGGATCAACACAGCACTTTAATTTTTTTATATGGCCTGGCTTAGTTTGTCATTATGAATAAGGCAACAGTATTTCTCACTGAAAGCAGAATGATATAATATTGAAGAGACATAACTGATGCTTACCTGCAGAGAAACAGTTCAGAGTGGGAAACCAGTCATTTTTTGTGCATGTGGCTGTCGGTAAATGGTATTCAGGATAATACCCCACATCACAATTAAATGAAATTTCATCACCTTCTATAAAAGTTTTCCCATGGTCATAAGTCACATGACCATGTGGTAAGTGTTTAGGAGGAATGCACTTTTCTAAAAAGAACATGAAGAAAAATATTGACCCCAAGAGGAGCTGAGACAACAAAGAAACATTTCCCCAAATAACATGTCATTAGGAAATATATTAAAAGCATTTTGACATTTTGGTTTCACATGAATAAAACTGGTAGCGCTTGTTGTCGACAGGCTTGTTATCCATAATTTTGCACACCTGCTTAGAAAACACATACTAGTCTGCAGTATCCTCAATAAGCAATTTCACATATCCCTAAGTTTTGATACATTTTTATATATTTCACATGCACAAAATGACAAGCAGGATTTAGCACAAGCCCAAATACATTTTTTTCACAGCCTCTTTATCTGCACTTTTATCCTCCATGTTGTTCAGTTAGAATGAATAATAAGGGTCACCTGAACCATTTCTATATATGATTTCTCCTGGTGATTTTAGAGCATTGTACCCAAGAGTGCTCGAGGCCAAAGAAATTCTGCACCCAGTTGCAAGGGTGGACTGCTAACAGATTATCACCTGAACTAGTCTGAACATTTTTTTTTTTTAACAAATAAATGCTTTTGATAGGAGCAAGTACGTAGCTAGTTTTTATATGTTCTTATTCTCAAGTGAAGATGCTACTGTTGGAGTCTATTTCTATATATGAGGAAACAATGGGAATTGAGCAATGTATGTGACTGCAAAGGTCTGGGGTCACATGTTGGTCATAGAGTTTATTGGATAGGGAACAACAGGCTTCAGTTTAACCCTAGCAAGAGTGAGTAGGTTTGGGTTTCTGGGGACTTTCCATCTCTTGTTCTGGATGGGGTTGCATGATCAGGAGGGCCTTTCCACAATGTGTTTTGCACCAGTCGTGCCTGTTACTGGGAGGCTCATGCCTTGGTCACCTTTCAAATGGACTGTTGCAATGCACCCTACATAGGGCTGCCTTTGAAGAGCATCTGGAAGTTACAACAGATGCAGAATGCAGCTGGATGGGCAGTTATGTGCACTCCTTGATTACTGCACATTACACCTTTGCTCCGTGCAGAATGCAGCTGGATGGGCAGTTATGTGCACTCCTTGATTACTGCACATTACACCTTTGCTCCGTGCAGAATGCAGCTGGATGGGCAGTTATGTGCACTCCTTGATTACTGCACATTACACCTTTGCTCCGTGAGCTGATTGGCTGCCAGTATGCATCTGGATTCAATTCAAGGTGCTGATAATGACCTATAAAGCCCTTCTAGGCATGGGATCGGGTAATTTGAGGGACCATCTCTCCCCAGGTACATGGAGTGTGGTTGTATGTGCAGAGTGCTATAGTTTCTAGATGCTGCACTACAGTCTCTGCTATGAGTCCTGAGAGAAAACCACACCCTCACCAACACTGGCAGGGCAAGCTACTGTATATAAACAGGGAGCGAACCCTACACTCACTAACACTGATGATGTTACCTAGTTGGGCAATGAAACGTCTGCAAGCAAACAGTCAAGCTCAGAGAGTATCAAGGACTCCACAGTTCAACCCTGAGCTACATATCTTCCCTTCTACTGGAACCACATATGAGCTTAAGAGAGAAAGTAGGCGAACCCAGTGTCTCTTTGAAGGCTCTGAGCCGTGGCTGGGCAAGCTGATTCTCCCAGCTCCCAGAGCTCTAAAACCTACCAGGGACCATTGTTATATGGTCTTGTCATGGGGAGCCTCTGTATGGAGCTCTATGGGTGATCCCAAGTCCTCCCCTTTGTCCAGGAGGAATTTCAGTGTGCCGATCCATTCATCGGCTCTTTATTCTGCCACAGTCATCAGCTCCCCTGAAAGCGAAGCCATCTTCAGTTCGCTTTTGCATCCCTAGAAGCATGCAGACATTTCATTATCCGACTAGGCAACATCATCAGTGCTCAGTGATGTTGAGTACGCTGATGATGTTGCCTAGTTGGGTAATGAAACGTCTGCAAGCAAACAGTCAAGCTCAAAAAGCACCAAGAACTCCACATTATTTTTCTTTCTTTTTCTTTTTCTTGCTAGCTGTGAGGTTATAGCAAAATATAAGACAACTAAAATATATAACTCATTGGAAAATTGTACTTGAAAATTTGGAAAATTGTATTGGTTCATAAATTAACACAGCAAAGACTCTTGAAGAATCCTTCCATTTGTTTTAAGGAGTGGCGGAACCTGTCACATGTTCATGAAACACCTTTTTGCTTTTGAATTCAAACTGTTGTTCAGCCCTACAAATGTACTACAGTATGCTAGTACGTTCTTTCATAAATTTATGCTAACTCTGATTTTAAAAGAAAGTTAATATTGTTGGAGCTTTCCAAACTTAGTAAAAGCAAAATTAAAAAACAACAACAGTGCACTTACTATAACATTGTGGTTCTGGATCCCAGCCAAAATTGGTGCATCTAATTCTATCCCAATGTTTTTTATTTCTTGGCAGAAAACCACGATTACATTTGAAGCTAATTATTTGTCCCACTTTTTTCGGAAAAGAGACATCACTGTAGTATATGTTGGACCAGGATAGTGCTCCATTCTCTACATGAGGATAGTCACAGTGTTTTGCTTTGAAGAAAGTAAAGAGAAATAATCAACCAGCACCAAAACATCAAGCTATGCCACCCATTTTTTATCATTGTTAGAAACTTCTCTTTTGTGTAATTTTGAAATGTTAGCTTAATATGCCTATCATCAAAATGGATTACCCAGTTTTATACTCCATCATGAAAAAGTTATTCTACTAATTTCAAGTGAACTTCCAGATACAGTACATTAGGATTTCAGTCTTAGGACTGAAAAACATTATGGATTTGAATCACAGATGGAAGCATTCTACAAGGAGAACTCTACTCATGGAACATTCCAACTAGGAAGGAAGGGAGATATCTTTTATCTGTTTCCCCTATTTTCACCCGGAAATCCTCTCCAGAAAGCCAGGGAACTGAATCAAAAATCTTCTATGAATGGAAAGAGCACTCAGGATCTAAATGAATCCCCCACCCACCCATCTACTTATATTAAAACTACCAAAATTGATTAGCGGCAGTCTACCTATCAGCTGCTCTAATTAAAAATTGTTTCCACTAGTTCAACATAATTATTTTTTTATTTGGGCAATTGAATGCTAGGATATTTTATCAAATTAAACAACATGCAAAACAATTTCCAAACTTCAGGAAATTTGCCAAAAAAATAAACCAAAAAGCTGGTTTGAACAATTGCAATAGCAAAGAATATAAATTTCCTCTGTGTAAGTGATCAAAACTAGTCACCCTCCATATGTTGTACTTTGGAAATTCTGCAGGGCCACAAATTCCTCAACCCTACTGTGCATCTTCTATCTGTTCATCTACTAAGATAATAAAAGTAGAGAGAGTGTGCAAGGCATAACGTTCACCATGACCAGAGCCATGATTACCAGGGTTAATGAAAAATTAAGGCCCAATTTGGATGTCACATTTCCTGTTCCAGAAACTGTTGTTTTTCAATCAGATTAGCAACATATGCCCATATCAGTTTGAAACACCATTTTGTAGGGACCACAAAAACCAGTTTTCCAATTTAGACACTAAGAGAATCTGTGATTTAACACTCTTGGAAATCATGCATTAATCCGAGTAAACAAGGTTAGAAGGGAAAGGGAAGAGGGAACCAGTATACATCGCATTCCCTATCCAATCTGGCCATGTTTTTGTTGTACCAGGAATGCCGTGCCTGAACCGGGCCTTTTGCTTAACCAAATACTGCTACTCTCTCTCTCTCTCTCTCCTTTGTTCCTTAATTGATAAGAAGTAAACTTGCCTCAGTGTGTACTATATTTCAGAAGTGAAATGAGATGGGTCATTTTTGGAGAATTTGGGGGCAGAGTGTCATAGCGAGAAGAGGAATTGCCTTTACAAAACACAGCTGTCATAAAAACAAAGGGAAATGAGTCATGGATCCTAGAAGACAGCAAGGAAGAGGTCTACAGGAACACTACTGCCCATACAGGCCATATACAGACCTAAGTTTACGAAAGGAGGCAAAACTAGCATGGTTATATTAACCAGATTATATTAACTCAGTCCTAAAACCATGAACAAGAATAAAACAGAAACAAGACGAGCATCTTACACAGAGAGTAAGAAATGAAATGTATTCATTAAACCATGTTTATGAAAGAGCATAATAAAGTGTGTGGAAAGGGAAATTATAATGGGACCAGAATGAATACAAATGCTCTTAAGTACTGAATGTTTGAAGTTGCCACGCACATCTTTTGTCGATAAGTATCGATAAAATGGCTCAAGAAGTTTAGGAGGCAGTTGTAGGTAAACAATCTTTATTGCCCACCCATCTTTCCATCCAGCCAAAGGAAGGGGAGATGGTGAAGTGTATAGAGAGAGCCACAGATTAAAACATAGTTTCTAAATGAGACAATCCCGCAGTCCTGATTGCCATCGTAACCCCAGGACCCCGCGGGTTGTTAAGCAGAAAGAGGCAGGAATCTCAGGCAAGCAGGCCAGCAGGTGCTGCGGGGGGTGCAGGGTGCCATGAGCAGGCACTACAGAGCAGAGGTGGGTGCACAGGTGCTGTGGGGGACATGGGGTGCTGTGGACAAGTGCTACAGAGAGCAGGAGGGCAAACTTCCTGCCAGCTTTCCCATTGATTTTGCTTGTGGGAAGCCATCAGGGAAGGTCAGAAATTGTGATCACATGACTGCGGTTCACTGCAATGTCATAACTGCAAGCCAGGCACCGAGTGCCTGGATTATGATCATGTGACCACAGGGATGCTGTGACAGCCACAACTTCACGGATCAGTCACAATTCCCTCTCATTCAGGGCCATTGCAACTTTGAACAGTCACTGAACAAGTGGTCGTAACTCAAGGGCTACCTGTATGCATGAAGAAATTTAAACACAAATATTTGAAAATTCCAGAAAATGCTCAATGATTTTCTTCCAAAGGAAACTAAACCTGAGTAAGTGCTTTATTCCTGGAACTTTTCAGCATTTAGGAAAGGGGAGTGATGCAACAGGAGTTTTGCCTTTTTATATCTCTCTTTTTTAATGCTGTATTTATAATGTCTTTGCCTTATTACACAGCATCATGCATTAAGTGCTTTTATTGTAGCTTTTTCAGCACTCCCTATTTTTTATTTTTTGGGCCTGCACAATTCCTCTGTGAATAAGGCTAAACTTTTAAACTAACTCAACCTCATTTCAACTGAGCACTTTGCAAGAGATCATCCTGTTAGCTAGAGAGCGTGAGAGAAAAATGGATCTAAAAAGAAGGAGGGAATATGAAGTCAGACTAGAATCTTCATTGGTTGCCATACAGAGATAGCGATAGCATGTCATTTCTATTTTATCCATAATTAAGTGAAAAGGACAGTAAAGGACCAACTGTATTATCCACAGAGATACAGATGTGGACAACTAACATTATAGCCCTTTAGGATTTGGCACTGACTTAAAAACAAAACAAAACACCTTACAGGATCATGAAAACTACTTACTGACACATTTTGGATATGGCGACCAGCCATCTTTTGTGCATTTAGAAGAATTCTTATGGCTTTTAAGCACATATCCTGGTTCACATGCCGTGTAGATCATGTCTTCAATTTTGTAATGACTCCATACAGGAAAGAAGTTACCGTTGTCTACTTGTGGGGCAGCACAAATTACTTGTAATACAAAATAGAAATATCATTACCAAATTATTATTTTCCTATATTTTCTCTCAACATTCTACCATTGCCGGTATCCTATATATGCTCAAACAAAATGAGGGCAATCTGTGGTTGAGCCTTCACATTTTGAAAAAGGGCAATTATATGTAATTGGAAAATAACATCTAGAAAGGTGTTTAAAGTTTTCGCCTGCTGTTTTCTTGGGCTCCTTCCCCAGCTTCTTTTTGGACTGAGGTCACAAAAGATGTGCTCTTTTTACTCCTAGAGGATATAAAACAACCTGGACAAGTGATTTTGCTCAGGAAAACAATGTGGAAAGATAATAATGCAGCACCTATCTGCCTTCTTTGCTGCTCCAAATTATTATCACTATTATGCTGCTTAAACTGGCATATGCAAAGTGGCAAAGGTAAAGCAAAGATTTCAGCAGGTTTAGTTGATGAAGCCTGGTGTGGGTCTTCCGATGTATACTTGTCCGGAATCAGAACCACAAAATGCAGCATCCATACCAGGATAAAAGAACACGAAAGACACTGCAGGCTACAGCAACCAGAAAA